ATATTTCTCGATTCTGGCCATAAGTTCCTCTATACTTTTTGGCAATGTCTTTGCCAGCGATTTTCGAAGCAGACAGTCATCGTTCAAGCCGTTCTTAAAAGATACGACCGCCCCCTCTTGGTTACACCCTGGTATTCGGTTAAATACCTCATAAAACCTTTTGACATAAGCCCCAAGGCTTTAATCCTCGCCAATTCTCAAAGCCATCAGGGAGTCTACCCTTAACGGCTGTAGTTTGTTTGTAACAAACCTGGCCACAAACATCTCGGCCAGGCCTCCCCAATTTCTCATAGTTCCTTTCGGCAACTTGTGAAACCAATTTGATGCTATTTCCCTAAAGAATGAGGGAAACACCTTGTAGAGCAACGGCTCGTTCCCGATATACAGTGCCATTGAGTTCAAATATAAGTCGACATGAAAGTTGGGATCAGACTTGCCGTCATATATCTGGAATCTCGGCATATAAAACCTTTTGATGGCCTCAAACTTGTTTAATTCTACTGAGAACGGCGTTCTCGACTTGATCGGAGATGTTACCTTGGCATCTTATCACTTCCTCTGGAGGTAATCCCTCAAATCCTCCTTAGTCCGTCCAAGAGCTTGGTTGTCACTGAATTTTAGCCTTTTTGGTACGCTGCTTCTGGTGTCGGTATGAGTCCTCTTGGACCTCCCTTCATTTATCGTGTCAAAACAAAGCTTCTTCCCTTGAACGTGTCAATGTTCTTTGACGTAGGTTTCTTTGGCACAATGTGTCTTCCAAGACTCTCCTCTCATCGATTCTCCTCGCCCGACCTCCCGTGAAGGTCGATGAAAATGCTACCTTGCCCTGCCATGCTGAGGGACTGTAGGGATTGCTTTCTGCCCCCCTTTCTGGGCATCATTCTTGGCCACTGGAATCGGCATGTCCTCCAATGGGAACGGTGGCTATATGATGTTGCTCTGCATCATGAAATTGACAACCGATTACAAGTCTGCCAATTTGTTTGCCATCTCCTTCATCTCGTCGTCCCTTCTCAAGCATCTATCTTTCCATACCTGGAGGTCGCTTTCGTTGTAATACACGCCCTGACATGCTTTATTCAGTACGTCTCCCTCTTGGCCGACGTCTTTTTCTCCGAGATTCTTATTCTGAGGTTCTTCATTACAGTTGTCTTCCTCTACGTTAGGATCGACATTTTTACCACTCCCACTAGGGATGTCGCCCCCAATCTTTTCTTTCTGCTCGTCGTTGGCCATCTATTCTCCTTATGCTTTCCACAGACGGCGCCAAATTATGGGTGCTGATTTCCGACCACACTGCCAAACAGAGAACTCAGCTGAAGAGCACATGCAGAATAGATTACGCCTAAACAACCTGTCACAGAAAGATAAGACTCTGGCAGTGGTTCATCCACCCGGGGGCACTCCGACAATCAAGTCAAAACTTAGTTTATCTCTCAAAGATAGCAAAGAATGCTTAACTCACTAGCCAGAATACAAAAAGTGTACCTTAGACCCACGATGGTGCCTTACTTTTATAGTCAACACTAACTTGCTCTCTGTAGAAGCCTAACTTTAATGGGTTCTGGCTCAATGCTTATTTGGGACTCTCAACTAGATAAATATAAACTCCCTAAGAGTTTTATCTTTATCCAGACTGAGGTCCTTCCCCATTCTAGGACTCTTGTCTCTTATTCGCTCACCTCGAATTCTAATATCTCCGCAGATAACTTCGGCCTAGCCGAGATCATCCTAACACACGACCAAGCCACGTGGCACTCTAGCTAACACGTCAGCGTCATCTCGGCCACGTGCTATCATTCACAAAATATGTCTTTACAAAAGACATTTTCTTTTAACCGATTTCAAACAAATCAATTTAGTCAAATTTTAATTTATTTAAATTCAAAAGTCAAATTTTAATTTATTTAAATTATATTATTCTTTTATTTTTAACATATTTTTTTTAAAAAAAAATTAATTTTTAATCGATTTTTCAAAACAATCCCAGCATCCATTTATGAAAAATATTTTATTGCACCTGCAAGGTGAGTGGGACCAAGGCTAAAGGCCCATTTCTTTCTCATTTGACAAAAGTACCCCTAATTAAGACTATCTTCACATCAACTTCCACTACTAGTAGTCTCTCACACTTTGACTATACAAATAAATGAGGAATTATATTTTGTTGCATCAATCATATGGGTGTTTTAGGAAGATCATTAAAAATTATTTTTTAATTTTTTTAAATTTTTTTGTGAAAAAAAAAAATGAGTTAAAAGTTAAGAAATTCCAAAACAAGCCATAGATTTCGAGGTGAGTGGGACCAAGGCTAAAGGTCCATTTCTTTCTCATTTAACAATATTAGTTAAGAATATTCTTGGGCTTAGAATTATAGAGTTAGATGTGATATTTTATTTAGATTTTTTTTATTTTATTTTATAAAAAAATTATTTAAAAAAAAAAAAAAACTCAAAATCAAATCTTGCCAAACACCGCCATAGACTATGAGGTGAGTGGGACCAAGGCTAAAGGCCCATTTCTTTCTCATTTGACGAAAGTACCCCTAATTAAGACTCTCTTCACATCAACTTCCAATACTAGTAGTCTCTCTCACCCTGACAAACAAATGAATGAGGAATTATTTGGGGATTCGACTCTCTCCACTTTGTTATTTTAATTGGACAATCCACTTTGGTCTATTTTGAATTCATTTTGAGTGAATTTGAAGTAGGGGTGTAAAATATCTCACTCTGTTAAAATTATATTAATTTGTGTTAATTTGTACCATTCTAATTGTTAATCGCAGTTTAAAATTTTAAATTTATAATCTGACAACCGAACTGTTCCGCTCCGTATAATTAATACATATATATTTTTTATTTTTTAATGAAATATTAATGTAAAAATGAGTGTTAGAGAGATTTAAGATATGAAATTTATTATAAATTAGTAGTTATATATATGAAACATATTATGTAAAATTATTTTGTGTTATATATATAAAAAATATTATACAAATTAGCATTATATATTATGCAAATGTATGATAATTAGTTAAAATATTCTTCAATCCGCCAATCCGTCAAAAACTGTCCAAATCGCAATTTATCAATCCGTTAACCCGTCATTCGGTTTGTAATTTTACTCTCAAACCGCCCGAACCGCACCGCGCACACCCTTAATCTAAAGTGTAAAGTTTACTAAGTATTTTATTTTTAAAAAAAATTGTGTTAATCAGATATTAATAATCACTTGATCAGATCACATTTATATTAATATTTTATTTTTAAATCTATATTTGTCGTTGACATAAATTTAATTTAATCAAGTGACTATCAATATTCAATTAATATAATTTTTTATAAAGATGAAATACTTAACAAACTTTACACATTAAACAATTTAAATTATCGATATAAATTTCATAATAAGCCTATATAAATCCAGTCACACACTCCAAGTCAATTACAAACAAGAGAAACCACTATCAATTATTCAATAGTTTACCAACCTAACATGTTAAGGAGATATTTTGAAATTAACGAGCCTCCGTTTGGAAAGTGGGTTGGTTTTTTTATTTTTTAGCTTTTTTAGCTATTTGAGTCTGGGCTCAAAAGTTTGGTTTGGGAAGGGTTTTTTGACTTTTTAGCTTTTTTGACTTTTTTTGTGAGAGAAGAGTGTAATGATTATGGGTTAGATGTAATGTTTTGTCTGTTGTGGCTCAAATAGCCTATTCTATCTATTGTGGCTCAAAAAGCCAAAAGAGCCCAAATAATCTATTTTCAAACGACACCTAAAGATTATTAGTAGTCACAAAATATATGGAATGGACCTTACTTATCTTGGTGAGCTAAGTAGAAAAAGATGACCAATCATATGTATCTCTTTTAGCACAACCTAATTAGTTACGAATATTGTGTACACATGTCATAATTGCTCACGACTAATAAATAATATTCACTCGAAATGACTTTTGATGCCCAAAAGATAAAAAAAATAAAAATAAAACGAAAGGTTCCCAATTTTTGTAGGTTCAATTTCGACTGTTGAAAAGCAGTGGACACAAATCTAAACAAAAAACACAATGGTCTCAAGAATGGTTATTCAATAATGTTATAATAACCAACATTTATATATGTCATGAAGTGTTTATTTTCTTATCTGTTATTATTGTATTGATTTACAATCTGTTTATATGGAATGATTTTGTGAGAACTAATGAGAAATGAAAAGAAATAAAATTTAGCAAGAAACACTGTTATAATATTGAGATATTCCATTAAAATACAAAGAAAAAAATTAAGTGATATACCTATCTCACGTTCATTAGTTACTTATCCATTCAAATATCATAGTAAAAAAGTATAATTATTTCTTTTCTTTTTTCACTCAACTGAAAAACCACAATTATTTTTGTTATTTTTTCACAAGTTATACCAAATGGATTACATGGCCTCACTCATATTGTTAAAAATACAATAGTAGCATATAACATGATAAATATTTTAGGAAAAATTACAATTTAGTAGTTTTTATAATTGAAGGCATAATAAAAAATAAAAAATAAAATAAAATAATAAATTAAATGATTTAATCGTTGAGCCACCATCGTTGACGCGTAGCCATCACAGATGTAGATGTTGTTAATTTTTTTTTTATACTCCCTTTATAAATCACAACACGACACCACCTGGCCCCAAATAATTTGTCGAGGGACAATGGCCATTGCTGTGGGTCAGATCCAGTGGTTTTGGGTCCCAATCATTGGACATGGACATTTTCACTAAAAAAAATTGATCATTGGCCCACTGACAAGTGACATTTCTTTATAAAATAAAATAATAAAAAAAATCAATCTTCTTGGAATCCGTAATAATATTAATTAAAATAAAAAAAAATAATAAAAATAAAATAAAAAACTACACATTATCAGCATATGATAATTTCACAACATATCAAACCAAAACCATGGGCCAAGTCCAACCACTCCACCACCATACATTGCAAAGCCTTTTTGTAGTGTAGTGTGTGCGCTTGCTTTGCATTTTTATAAAGAAGATTGATGAATTGAGAGTTGAGAGTTAAAAAAGAGAAAACCCATCTCTCTCTCTCTCTCTCTCTCTCTCTCTCTCTCTCTAGAAACTCTCAATCTATAGCCATGTCAAGCAAGAGATCACCGCTGGCGGTCGGAAAACTAGCCGGAACACGGGTTTTCGGCAATCCAACCGGATTCACCGATGCAGCCCCGAGCCCGAGAAGCCCTTTGGATCTCAATATTCAATCCCCAAGGCCAAGAGGCTTAAAGAATTATGATCTTGGTGGGGTTGTTGGGCTTGGAATTGTAGCTGCCCTTGAGAAATCCGGTGAACCCGGGTGCGAAATTCGGGCCAATAAGGCCGTGTTTGGACAAAATTTAACCCGATCTAATCCAATTCCGGTTAAACAAGCTAACAATTGTGTTAGACATAGAGGGGGAGATTTGGAGGAAATTGATTTTGATAGTTTGGAGGATTATACCTTTGTGACTTGTCATGGACCAAACAAGTCCTTCACTAGAGTGTATTGTGATGGAGATGAAGAACATGGCAAAGTTGGGCATGATAGAAGTATTGGCTTTGAAAGGAGAAGTAAAAACTATGGCTTTGCCATCTTCCACATATCGCCAGTTAGATTTGGAGAAGATATCACGGCATACCCGGCCTCCGATTTTCTCAATTCTTGTCACTTGTGCCAAAAAAAGCTCCATGGCAAAGATATATACATGTACAGGTACAATCTTCAACTTTGTTATATATAGTTCTTTTCTATGTTATATTATATCCTTCTTTTTGTAGTTCCGGAGAAGGAATTTATGTAAGAAAGCATGTAGAACCAAGAACTACGCTAGAAACATGTAGGACCTATAATAGCGCAACAAATAGGAAGTTACGTGTTTGTTTCTGCCGTATTGTCCTTAATTCTATACGCTTTCCTGCATCATATATCAATTTAAGGCCTATATAGTAAATGAACATTTCTTGTGGATAATCAAGACCCCTGTTGGTAAGACACCTCTTGATAATTGATCTTGAATTGGATTTACCAAGTCTTGAAGTGATCTGCTATGTACTAATATAGAGTCTAGTCCTATATTTGATTTTCAAAGAGCATATTAATAAACCAGAAGATTTTATAAACGGAGAAAATACAACTCTCTGTAATTTTTCAAAATTAATAATTAATATTATGTGACGGTGTTTGGCAACAATTTTTTTTTTGGATTTTTTCAACTAAAAGATAAAGATTTTGCACAATCAAATAAACAAATCCAAAAAAAATATCACATCAAACCCCATAATCATTTCATTTTTTATCTCACAAACATCCTATCCAATCACAAAAAAAATCTATCTTCTCAAACACAAAAAAAAATTTCTCCAATAATATCCTACAGCTAAAAAAACCTACATAAAAACCCAATTCTCAAACACTCACATATTTTTTCACGTATTTGAAGTTTTTTATTTTTATTTTTTTAAAGACCATTAGGCTGTAAATTCTCCTTTCATAAATCTATGCATAAGCATAGCATATGAATATTTGTGGAGACATGAGATTAACAAATCACATACACTTGATTTTTCAGGGGAGAGAAAGCATTTTGTAGCACAGAATGTCGGTATAGGCAGATAGCGATGGACGAGCGCAAAGAGCAGTGTAGCTCTGAAGCTTCAAGATCATCGGCAACAGATCTTTCAAACTCACCTTACACTAATGGCCAGATCTTCTCAACAGGAATTCTAGCAATTTAGACAACTCGAGGACACCACTATACTATACATACAAGCATGGTTTTAAATAATAGCGTTGAGATAGCTGATATCAGATACTATTGACGCGTATATTGTTGAATATCGGTATCAATATTTTAAAACCATGCATATGAGATTCAACACAAGTTAGAAGCTCTCTTTTGTTTTCATTTTACAAGTTTGGTTGTAATTTGGATGTAAGAGCAAAGCTTGTGATATGTAATGAGAATTTTGAACTTAGCTACCGTTTGGCAACTTAGTTGGAAGTGAGTTGGGAAAAAAATACAAAAAATATTACATCTAAATCGTAATCATTTCATTTTTTTCGCTCAAAACAAAGTTTAAAAAGTAAAAAAAAAATCAAAAAGTTCTTTCCAAATAAAACTAATTTAACCAGGCTAAATTAGCTAAAAAATCAAAAAATTGAATTAAAAAAAAAGCCAAACAAAGCCTTAAAAGGTGAATTTGAGGTTGCTTTTTATTATTATTAGATGCAAATAAGCAATCAACTTATCTCCTGCATTTCTTTGCTGTCACTGCACTACTTGGTACTGTTACCAGCAAACTTGCATAATTTCTTTTCAATTTCTCATTTCAAACACATAAATACTATTTTATATATATAGATATTAAAAAATTGAGCAGATTGTATGTGTAATTGAAATTGTCATATGGAGTCATGGGAGAAAGAATCTTTGTTAAGTGATGGGCAGTAGTTGATTTTACTTTTTAATTCTTACAGTAACAGCTAAGTAAATATAAATATGTGAGGAAAGTATAATGTAATTGTGATTTTTTAAGAATCAAAATTATGTTCCCATTGTTTTAATTGATAAAACTCAAGTTAGGGCAACATGTGAATTTACCCTCATATCACGATATAATTTTCCCATCATTGAGGGAGGTGCTCTTATCCAATATTTGAGAAGGTCCTTTGATCAAAAATATATATTTCAAATGGGAAGTGATTGAAACCCCTCCAATCACCACCCCCACCATCCCTACACACGCGTGGCGGGTGGTGATTGGAGGAGAAAGAAAAAAAGAAAAAGAAAAAAAGAAAAAATGGCCAATTAATGAGAGAGGGGGGTCAAAGGGGTTGCCTCATTGAGGGGGTCCAACTCATTTTCCATTTCAAATATAATTAAATTAGGAAATGGACCTCACTGGGACGCTAAGGAAGTATGAGCATAAACTGAAATATTTTGGAGTTTGAAAGTTTATTAATAATATTTATTATTTATTATTATTTGCATTATTCATTTATAATTTTAATTGAAAAATAAAAATATTAAAATAATATAAAATGTGTGGAAGAAAATATTCTAAAATGAGAGAAGATTCATCAACCTAACAGAACAAGACAGTGCTAGAAATAAATTTGGTCACACAAATTTAAAAAAAAAATTAGAGAAGGATAAATACAACTCTCGTATTTCACTCATATCTCATATGACTAACTTACAAAGCTATATAATATTTTATAACCAGACTCTTAACATTCTAACATAATGATTATTCATACTAATATAATGACTCACTATACCAATTTCATTATAACATTCACGCTACTAATACCATCCCATTAACTCACCACTAATATTCCATTATTCCTTCATAACTTTTGAAATAAACACCATCATGAAAAACATAACTCTCAAAATAATAAAAACTAATTTATCTTTTCCTCAGACAGAATGCGACCCATCTCTTAAAATCCATATCATTTGAAAAAAAATTCCGTCCCATTAGCATAGTTAAATTTGAATAGAATAACTCTGCATCAAGAAAAATAAGCCTTTGCTGCCTTAGATTAAATTTGGTTTCGCTATGTCTTGAATCAATAAAACAAGCCCATTTCATTTGAGTGAGAGACAGATTGGGACATTTGTGCTTAGTCACAGTGGAGGAACAAAAAGCAGATCTGGTGGGAGGAGTGTTTCTTTCGCAGGCCCAGATGGTCGTGTTTTCGAGGGAGGACTTGCTGGTCTATTAGTTGCTTGCTGCTGGCCCAGTCCAGGTTAGATTATACAAACACAAAAAAGAAACCAAAATAAAAATAGCCCTGCTTTCTAGAGGTGCTCGTGGGTCGATTTTTAACGATTTAGATTGCGGCTTGAACTCGTCTAGATATCTGCAGTTTGGTAAAAATTGAATCCACAACCACCCGTAGTGTGGATTATAGTTTGTGCAGATAGGGTTCGCGGATGTGCTGACGGTTTACAAATTGAACTTTCATTTAACAATTTATTTTTGAGCTTGTTTTTTTTTCACTTTTTAAATATTCTTTTTGGTTTTTTCCCATTTTTTAAATATTATTTTGGGTTATAAAATCACATATTTCTTATCATGAAATCATTAATTTTCAAATTATTTATCCCAAATAAATCACAGCCCATCTATCCGATTTACTTCCAAAAGGAAACAGACCATAGGCACAAGTCAGGATCAATCAGTTGACTCAAATTTACTTTGCAGAAAAGGTATAAGATAAACAAAACCTATAGTTGTTTTAATAAAAATGGAACAAACATCTCTTTTGAAAAATTGATTTTAAGGTTTGCTGAACTCAATAACTAGTGAAAAACAAAAAAAATAACTATGAATAAGCTATTTTACTCATTTTATTATAAGTTATCAGTAACTGTTGGGTTTCCACATTTGCAATGCAAAACAAATTGCAAAACATTTGTTTACTTGCAAGTGAGTGATAGAAGAGAAGATTAAGGTTACACACTTATAAAACTTACAAGAAATTCTGACAGTCTAGATTTAAAAGAAAAAAAATGTATTCAGATGCGGACAAGTGAGTGCAGGTGCAGGTAAAAACCACACCCCGCTTGCAACTCACAAAACAGGAAAATCCTAACTCGCATCCAACCCTAACAATTATGCGAAACCACCTAAATAGATGCGGACGGTTCAGGTCGGGCGATTTTCGCAGGTCGAATAACCCTATACGCAATATCTCTACAAACTTACATTTTAACAAATGTTTTTTATTATTATTTTTTTCTTTTCAATCATGTATATCTCAAAATATTGAAATGTTATGCGATGGTTTAACCCTTGGGAGGAAAATGGCCCCTTTGTCATTCCTAAAAGAATCACAATAACACAAAAAATTCTATTTCTACACACTTACTTATCTCTGTACACACACTTAATGATTTATTTTTTTATTACAATTTTGACTTAAAATAAAATTACTAAAGCGTCCTTAACCCTAACCCTATCCACCGTCCACCGCTATTGCCGCTGCCATCATTAACCCCCTCCGCTGTAACTTTTTTGCCGCGAAACGCATCTCTCTCTCTCTCTCAGTTGGTGACCTCGCTAGCATATGAAGTGCAAGCGATGAAGAGGGAGATGAGACTGTAGTGGTTACGACTCGCGAGGGGTGGAAATCGTTATGGTGGAGGAAGAGGGCAATGGAAGGCTTGCCGGAGGGAAATGAGAGTTGGGATGGTTCAACGAAGGAAGAGGAGAGTTGATGAAGGTTTGTCGAAGGGAGATAAGCTAGAGAAGAACTGGCGGAGGGGTAGAGGGAATGGCGGAGGCGGTGACAGCGGTGGAAGGGGACTGGAAAGGGGCAACTTAGAGTTGTCGTCGATATATGGTCATACAAGGCGACAAGCGACAGGTGACAGTGGGTGTTGGTTTAGGTTTTCAATGTCAAAGATAGGGATATTTTTGACAAAAAAAAGTTATGCATAGAGTAAAATTACAAAATTCAAAATTAGTTGATGTGTATATTGAGAGAGGATGTGGAGTGAGAGGTTTCGGTATGTAGAAATAGATTTATCCCAATAAAACTTCCATGTTTGGAATAAGCTAAAAATGTTGTTTTTTAGTTAAATAAGTCAAAAAGCAAAAGCTTGTTTTGGAAGAGCTAAAAAAGTAACTTGAAAAAGCCAAAAATGTCAATTTTCTCAATAACAGGAGAAGAAGAAAGAAGGGGGGAAAAAAAAAAGGGGGTATGGGGGGGCAATATTTTAGTAATTCCCAAAACATCGGCTTTTTTAAATTCTGGTTTGAGATGCTCTAAAAAAATCAATTTTTTCTTAAAAAACTTATTTGTCCTAAGTTAAAAAAAATCAAAAAATCACTAAAAAGATAATTGCTGTTTTTTTTCATTTTCTATCTACGTTGTGAAAGCCGTGACTTGCTTACTTCTCTGACATTTACGAGTAAATCAGGCCATGGTTGGCAGGTTTTTACCTGGCCATCATCAGGAGGAGCAGAAGCTAAAAAAGCAGAGGTTTGAGCATGCACCAAAATTTACTGTTACCTCTGGAGAAGGAACAGGGTTAGCCTATGGTGAACCACCAAAGCCAAACCTCACACCTCCCTCTTCTTTCCATGGAGACAATGTGGCCTCTCCAAACTCCATCCAGATTTCAAAGAAACTGAAGATGAAATAACCTTACTTCGAGCTGAATCTAAAGACCCCGGCACACGGAAAACTTCACGAGCATACTGTCACAATCACACATCACTTAAACAATAAACATGGCCATGCAAATTGTTAATGTAAATTGTAAAAGTAAATACTACCACCCACTCCACCTACCACCTCCACTACCACTCACTCCACCTACCACCTCCACTACCACCTTCACCTACTCCCAAATCCTCTTCTATATAAATCCTTGTAATATACACAATATACACATCAATCAAATATACATACAATTTATCTCTATCAATATATTTTACATGGTATCAGAGCTATAAGATTTAGGCCTATACTCCTTTCTTTCCGGCGGGCAGCCGGCCGGCAACCTTGCCTTCGCTGCCCGCGGGAGTTTTTTCAACACATATCACAAACACATATCTTCACTCCGCTGCCACAAATTTCATATCTACTCTCTCTCTCAATTTCTTTTACACTCTCCTGGAATTGAAGCCGAACCGAGGGCCTCCTTCATCGGTACAGATAGATCAGATACGATCTTCGCTTCACCTCTCAAGATCTGTTACGATGTACACTTCAAGGAAGAAGATACACAAAGATCAGGATGCGGCACCCACTGAATTTGGGGAGACAGTTGCACAGACATTATTTGATTTGGAAAACTCCAACCAAGGAGACCCACGGCTCTCTCTCACTCTCGGCATCAACCTCTCTCTCTATCTCTCACAGAGCTTCATACACTTCAACCCCACCACACACACATGGATTATTATAAGCTCCCTTGGTCAAGCTTCCATCCCACTCTGTTGGGCACATGGCCACCGCTGCTGCATCTGCTTCATCATCATCCA